AAAAAAAAAAAATTATGAAGCATAATAAGCATAATATAATATTATGCTTAAAGTAATGAAAATTTTTTTGTGGCCGCCTGAGAGCAACCTGTAAATCTGGCGTGACAGTCATCGTGTTAATAAGTAAATGTTGTTCAGATTATATCGTGTTTGATCTCATTTTCATCAGAAAAATATCATCAATATGTTAAGAAAAATTTCGGGGTAAAAAAATGTAAAATTAAAAAAGTTGGTGTTTAAATCGCTTGGTTGCCTCGGCTCTTGTTTCTTCTTTCGGCAAACTACAAACGCGGGCTGCAAGGCTCGAAAACAGTGTTCCTGATTCCTAAACTGTCCTGTTTGCTGGTGGTCAATAAGAGAGACATTACTGTATATACAGGATAGACCTTGCATCTTATAGGACATTGACGGGGGCATTGACAGATGACTGAGAAGACTCTTACCATTTTCGTGTCGTTACCAACGTTACCGATTCAGCATAGAATAAGATTTCAACCACAGACGATAGATGATTCATCACATGCGCGTGTCTATTGCTGTCTACCCAAGCAATCCAATATATTTATGTATGTATTATTGCGAGCACCGTATATAAACTCAAGGCCTACTGGTGCTCGCTCCGGAATCAAAGAAGACCGTCGGCTCTTACCGACCGAGCATATTGATTAAGCGTGTGGTTGTATAACACTTGATAATAAGTTGAATAGCAGTATATATTATAACAATAACTATAAACACACGTAAAAAGAAATAATGATAATTTGATCAACGTTCTCTAAATATATCTCGCAATAAATTCTCACGTACTCACTGATATCAATAACAACGCTGTTCTCCTGTTTTACCCACAGTTACCCTGTATGATCCGCTCGTTTACCAAATCTCCAGACGATTCGACATACACGCTACATTCACGCCATCACTCACAACTTATTATTAAACCAATTCCACACTCTCCCCCCTTGGTTTTATTCACTTTCAACACACATAAATTTCTTTACAATATTTAACAATGTGGATCCACTCAACGCTTTTGTTAAACAATCAGCCAACATTCTCTCTTTTGGAACATGTATCACTTTTATCGAATAATCTCTCACATACTCTTTAACAAAATGACATTTCCTATTTAATAATTTTGATTTTGTTTTGAAGCTACCACCATTAGCTAATTTCACCGCATTCAAATTGTCACACTTTAATTCTTTGTTCATATCATTGCATACACCTATTTCTCTCAACACCTCTATCACCCAAATTACTTCCTTTACTCCATCTAACATAGAATCTAATTCACTCTCGGTTGTTGATAAAGCAACCGTTCTTTGTTTTTTACATCTCCAGTGAATAAGATTACCGTTCCTATACAAAAGCAGTCCACTAAATGATTTCGCGTCCCTGGTGCTATCCCACGAAGCATCTGTTTCGCATCTTATCCCTTTCACCGAATTTGTTTTTCCATATTCTATCCTATAAT